GACATGCTTAAGCTTTGTCTGTAGCCTGGCTGTCTCTTTGGTGACTATTTATACCGTTTGAAGGTTGTCGCACCAAATAGTTGGCTTTATCTCAGGGTCAAAGCCTAGATTCTTGAAGAATCTCACCCACCACTGCATCTCAGAGCCAGCGGTTGAAAGGGCAAGTAATTCAGCTTATGTCGTCGATTTTGTGACTGTACGTTAAACTATCGATTTCCAGTCGATAGGCAAGCTAAAAAGTTTGAAGATGAATCCTTGTAAGCTTTTTCGCGTGTCTGGTTGATCAGCAAATGCTGCATCAGTTGCTCCAAAGAAAATCGGTTCTCTTAGGTCTTCAGGTACTGAGTAGTATAAATCCTGGCGCTGCTCTTTAGCAGAAGCTTTAATAGTGTAGTACTAGGTTCCAGCAAGGTAACACTAGTAATGTAATACAGCAGCAATGTGCGCTTGTCCAGGATTCTGGAGATACCTTACTAACATCAAATGTGCTTAAGCAACGTCTGGTCTTATAAAAGTAGTAATGTAGGCCAAAGAGCCCACAAGCTGTTAATAGAACTTTGTTTTGGAGGGAGGGGAATCCTCTGTTAATGTGGCCAGTGCTTCTGTTACCAGTAGCATAGTCAGGTATCGTTGTATAAATAATTTGATATTGAATTTGTTTGTAATTTTGTCGATGAAGCTGTCTAGGTAAAACCAAATCTTTTTACTGAATCGTTCTTATACGATTCGAATTCCTAGGAACCAGCGTAATTCTCCTAGACAGCGAATTTTATAGCGGCTAAAAAGCTTACATTCGAATGCTTTAACCTGCTCACGCTTGTGCTTAAACGCCAAAACAATAATATCATTAACGTAAAAGAAGACAATCAAATCTTCGTTAGAAAATAAGTAGGGTGTATCTGGAATTTGCTTTAAGCCTAGCTCTAAGAGTATGGCCTTCAGTTTATTATACTAAAGTAGTAGTACTTCTTTCAGCCTATATAAAGCTTTAAGTAACAAGAGAAGTTCTCTAAGCTCTGGAAAGCCTTGTGGTGCTCGATAGTACACTTTGTAATTTATTTTTACATTAAGAAAAGCGTTTAGTGCGTTGTATTGGTACATGTCAAGGTCAAAAGCAGCAGTAATTGCCATAAGTGCGCGAAATAGACGAGCGGCTATTATTATAGTATAAGTGTCTCCTTAGGTTATCTAAAGGTCACCGCGTACACATAGTCGAGCCTTGAATTTTAAGAGATAGCTGTTTTCATTAAATTTATAGGAAAATACCCACATAAGAGGGAGAATCTCTACGTCTTTGCTAGCCTTAGTAAGAGTAGTTTTAATAAAACAGCCCATACATATCATGCTTTCGATTTCAAGACCAGCAGCCTTAATAAAGTCTTTTCCAAATAGATGTGTCGCAAGATCCTTCTAGGATTTTAGTAGCAGAGGGAGTTGATCCCTGTGTAGTCGAAATTTTAGTAATTCTGCATTAAGTTTCAATAAGACATTTGGTAAGAATCCAGTGGCAAATAAGGTGACATATGTTGCCAAAACTTAATGAGTTACACTAGAACGAAGTCTTGAATCAATTGTATGAGAGCCTGTAACCTCATCCTTTTTTGGCGCATTATTATAGGTTCTGCTAGGGATGTACGGTTCCGGTAAGCTGAGTCTAGATTACTCTAATATTAATAAATTTTCGATTAAATCTTCGCTTGCTATTGGTGTTGGAAGCTGTGGCAATTCGTCTAAATCTTTTTCTAATATATTCTCAGCGTGGTTTGGTTCTTGAGTAGATATTTCTTAAGAAGCTGAGTTTAATAAAGACGATGCTAGGTCGTCTGATTCGTCGTCAGATTTGTCTGATTCGTCTATATTATCGATTCGATTCGTCGCAGCGTTAGAGTGTGTGTGTAGGGACTTTTTAGGCATAATAAGAACTTTAATAATCTCTTCAACACGCTCTCCTTCTGCATAAGCCTCCTAGGGCTCGTAAAACGAATTCAGCTTAAGAATAACATCTCTTATACGGATAACGTGAGATTTTGCTGGTAACTATACTTAATAAATGTCCGTTAAGTTGAAGCTGACTAGGTGGCCTATAAGAACGCGCGAACGAAGTTTCTCACTCTGTTTAATATCTTTATTTAGTGTAAATACTTTGCAGCTAAAGGGTGTAAGATGTATGATTAGTGGTTTATAACTATATACCATTTCATAAGGTGTCTTCTAGCCAAGAGATTCTGTTAACATAATATTAAGAATTATTACTATATACTTTACACACTTGTTACTAAGTGTCTTAGGGAGATTAGCTTCTTCTTATAAGAAGTATGCTCTTTTAAGAATTAATTTTCTAGCTTACTCTATTATACCATTTTATTGCTTAATGTCTAGCGCTTAAAGTTTAAGCTTAATTCCTTAGTTACGGCAAAAGTTTAAGAATTTAACGCCTAATTCTTATTCTCTATTGTATTTAAAGACGTTAACATCTTAATTAAATTGTCACTTAATAAAAGTAATAAAATATAAAACTGCAGGAATTACATGTGCATAGCCACATATTAACATTATTTTAGTAAAATATAGCTTAGTATATATATTAATTCTATGAAAAAGATAAAGATTGCTATTGTAGTAAGGTCTGCCTGAAGGCGTTAGTATAATAAGATTAATTACAAGACAGTAAAACAGCCTTATAGCAGGAAACTTAGGTATTATATATTATAAAATTATTTTATGTATCTTTGATTTAATGTATGTCTTATATTCTTTAAGTATTAGAGCCCTTTTAGTGTCTGTTAGCACTGCTCTAATAATATTATCTAAAAGATAGTTAATAGCCTCCTTACTAGCATGGGCAAATAATTAATAAAATTTAAAATAAAAAGCGCTAATAAGGCGTCTGTTTATACGAGAAGACTTTTATAAATAAGCTTAAAGTTATTTTAAAGCGAAGACTATAGTAGGGTTTTAGTTCTTATTTTCTTAATTAGCAAGCAGCTAGTGTCCTCTATTAAATTCAAGATAGCATATAATGTTCCCTATTAGTCTATTATAGAGGCAGTCTTGTTCTGAATTAAGGTAAATATTACTTATCCTAGCACGAGAAAGACTAACAACGTTTGTAAAGTAACTAGAGATATAGATAATATTAGAGAGTTATATAGCACTAACTCCTGTTAGTATATTTACTTAGAGGGTTATATTACTAAAAGCTTTAATTTTAAGAGTATCTTCTCCTGCTATAATAGCATTATCTAGAGTAGCTAGATAAGTTTATTTCTAGTTTACTTTTAAATTGCAGACGTGAGCGTTTGATATAGAGTTAAGTAACCAGCAATTCTTAAGATAGGAGATCAATTCATTAACCCTTACTATTAAAAAGGTGGCAATAATTGGAGTATCTTGAAACGGTCTTGCTATTAGTTAAGCTTTGTCTTTAGAGATAGTTATTAAGACGCTCTCTTTTATAGATATTAGTAAGCTGCTTAGTTTACTTATATTAGATTACTTTTTTACCTCCATTACCTTCTATTACTTCAGCATAGTGTCGATTCAGCTTCGAAGAAATAGATTTTAGGCAAGTTATCGTTTAATGTTTGCTTTAATTATTAGGTCTAGTTTCCAGTTACGAGGTCGCTAGTGTTTTAGATTAATGTAAAAATAAGAGGTGTACTAATAGACCTTACTATATAAGCATAGCTTGCTCAGTCTGCTCTTATTGTTTAGTAACGATAATAGATTTCCTTTTAAAGTAGCAAAGCTTGCTGCAGCAGCGGTAGCTACTACTGGATCTGGCTTTATGCGTTAGTAATAATTCTGAAAATTAGAGATAAGTTCATTAATCTCAGGTATGTTCTCTCTTTTAGATTCTTTACAAAGTAGGTCGAAGGTTGCAGCAGCTGCGTAATCAGGAGCAATTTATTTAATGGCTAGGAGAAAATCTTCCTAAGCACAATTTCCCTGCACATCTGGAATTTTAAGCTTCTTGGCGATAGCAACAATATTTCGCCAGTCCTTAATCCAGCGTTCGATATTTTAATTGCGCTTGTAAATCTTGACATTTTGATATTTGGCCTCACATTCTCGGGCGCGCGTTGCTGCTGTAGGAGCGATTTGCTCTTTAAGTGCGATGAGTCATTCATGTGCTGAGAGTTTGCCTTCAATCAATGGAATATGGTGCTTTACGATAGTATGACCAATCTCCATTGCTAAGTTTGCCAGAGCCTTCTTCTTGGCGCGATAGTCGGCTAGTTCGTCTTTGTAGGTGTCCATCAAAGCCCTGTACGTGGCTTGTTGGCTAGCGTTAAGCTGAGACACCGTAGTTGCTCCCTGTGAGACATCGGCAGCAGTCGGCTTGGCAGGTTCTTGAAGAGCTGGGATTTTGTCCTTCTCGATGTCGGGATTACAGTACTGCCAAACATCAGCTTGTTGAGCGGTGTCTTGACGAAGGAAAATCCAGGGTATCCAGTCAGCAGGTTTGTCAAGGACGACAGTAACCTTCTGGGTCGTGTAGTCGATTTCAGAGTCCATTTTGTGTTGATTGGTGAAGTAAAAAGATAGAGCTTGGTACTTTACGAGGGTCTGCTTAGTGCTTTGCGAGAGTCTGCTTGTTGATGCAGAAAGACGTCTGAGGGCCTTATGCCGAATGGAAGCTTCTAGATAAGCTAAATTGGATGGATTTGATGCACCGCATGTGCAAATGAACCGTCGAATTGAGACAAAATCGATTGATTGATTGATCGGAGTTGAATTGACGATTTTGTGTGGTTACTGTAGTGACAAATAAGCCTAGTAGCAACCCGGGCTCATAACTGTCACCGAGCAACCTTCGAGGGACGCAAGAAGATGGAGAGAACTCTATTGATTGACAACTGAGTAGAGCTATCCTATATATAAATAATGAGTGGAATGTACTAGAAGGAGGATTTGTAAGCATTGTAACGATCGACAGTGGGGTCGACAAAAAAGGGGAATCAGTGGCGTTGCTCGGTTACAAATGTAGAGATAAACACTTGTCTCCCATGCCTAGAAAACACGTACTAATTCTTTGCAACTCCTATTTGACAGCCATACTTATCCATGTTCCAGGTATCCTTAGGGTAATCTCCAGGCGCTTGCATATGGTTTCAAGCTTGTTAAACCACTTTTGAATCACCTCTGGTTGTTGCGTAAGCTTTCTCTGAATCTTAAACGACTTTGATTACATTAGACGATACTTTGGATGAGCCCTAAGCCAGCGCCAACCCTATTGTTTGCCACATTGTGGGGGCTCGCCCGACCCCTTATGTGCCGCCTCGAGGATCTTGTTATAGTACTGGCCGACTAGATCCTTGTGTATACTAAAGCTAATATCGTTAATTGTATCAAGAAACCGCTCAAGAGCTAGCTCTTAACCGTCGGTTAATAGAGGACTTGTTTTAGGGCGTGTTTTCTTGTTGTGGCCGCCTTTGTAGGCGCGTAGAAGCTGCTGGTAAGAAAGATTGTTCGCCTCTGCGTAGCTCCTGACGCTCGGATTCGGTTCCGTTTTGAGGTATTTGACTGCCTCATTGATGTCAGCAACTGATTGATCGTAATTACTCAATTTGCGAGATTTTTTAGCCATGGCTGCAGCGTGGTGATGATAATAATGCGATGTAGAATTGATTTTATCGTTGCGCTATTATTTATCGTTGAGGTGGTAGGGCCTCGCTTACCGGATTTTACCGCGTAACGCCCGGTCCCACGTGACGCACGCTTTTGGCTCATCTCAGACGTGTGAACATGAAGCTTTTGAGCCACATAAAATTGATAAAATTATACAATATTTTAGAGTAATAAATTATCGATGACGGAGAAGCTTATAAGCTATTTAAATTAATTGCGATATTGCTGTGGGAGAACTATTTTCCGCCCGTGACGATTCTGTACAGGAGTCGCCTCCACCACTTCATCAGCAGATGCACCCTCAATTTTTTCATCCGATTTACTTATGATGGGCCTAATAGCCTTCCGCTTATCCTTCTTCACTTATTGCATGTCTTTTTGGAGCTACTTTTCAGCCTCTTTGGCGTATTTTGCCTCTTTCTTCTCACGTCGCTTTTTCTCCTGCTCAAACAACCTCTGCGCTTTCACATTAGCCCTTATAACCTTTCTCTCTTCTAACAAACACTGCTTTTCAGCCTTCTCCTGTTCCTTACGGAGTTTATCTTCCTCTTTTTAACGGCGTTTATCCTCTGCCTCCTTCTCTTTTTAGGCCTATCAATCACGTGCTTACTGTACTTTATTAGGGCTCTAAAATATCACATTACTCTCCTCCTCACCCTGCATTTCAAGTAGAAGAGGTTTGCCACGCTTTCTACGCTTCTTCTCATTAATAAGTGTCTTTTTCAAGCCCTGATTCTGCATTTTAAGAAGCATGTTTTCGACCGTCAAAGCGTGAATCGTATTGTTAAGCTATTTGGCCTTTTTATCATAAACGTCGTCGACAACCTGGTGTAATAGCTTCTCAATGCGGCACCAATCTTCAGCCTTAAGTATAAAGTTAGTAGATAAGCTTAATAAAGGCCTTAAAGCATTTAAATCACTAAACTTTTTAATAACACGCATTGGATCGAAAGGATGTAAACTAGTGTTTTTAAAGCTAGAGAGAATATTTTTCTTAGTAAAAGCGCGCTTATACGCCACCCAGAAGAAGCAAAAAAAGTCTCTTTTAGTTATACTAAAGAATCCCTAACACTCGTCTATAAACACTTCAAGTTCTACCGTGTAAGCTGTTGAGAGAGGTTTAAAAAGACAAATATCCAAAGGCTGTAGCGTATGTATTAAATAAGGTAGATATATTACCAGTAGAATCTTATTTTTATCACAGTATTCAATAAATCGCATATTTACGTGAGATCTATGGCCGTTGAGGATAAGAAGCCTATACTGCCTTTACACCTTCTCTTTAGTCTCCTAATTAAACACCTAGGTAAGCTATATATAGCCTATATCCTTATTAGTCTACCTACTAGGAGATGAAGTGAAGTAACACTTATGAAGCGAAGAATCAAAATCCTGTAACCAAGTATCTTATACGTTCCCAGAGACAGCCTAATATATAAGGCTTGGCGTAAGAGAGGTCCCGTCGGCGTATATACATGCAATATATATAATCTACTTGTGATTACTGTCCTGGATTATCTTTTTTACCCCCCCTTCCTTATACCGCCGTTTTGAGAAGATTCTTTTTATTCTAGTAAGCACCCCAATAAGGAAGCCTTTCTCATCTATATTATATATAAGCCATAAATCTATATTATACTGAGCAATCTTCCTCTCTAACAGATCGAAATATAAGGTATATTTAAACGCTGAATTAGCCCTCTTACGTTCCTTATCCATCCCATTAGTCTACTTTAAGAAAATCGAGTAATCGTGTCTCTTTAAAAAGCGCCTAGGCCAGTGTTTTCCTACCGGATGTCTACATATTTCCTTTGCGAAATTTTGCAATATATGGTGTGTAGGAGGTAGCCCTCGTTTGCAGAGATCGTCGATATATTATAGAAGCGATTTCTCTTGCTGATCGTTGAGATGTCACTGGTTTTCGTGCTTTTCTTCACGAGAGCGTTGCACACCGCGAAAACGTTTCAAGAGCATTGATCGGTCGCAGCCATATTTGTTCGCTGTCGCAGTAAAATTAACTTTTTCTCCAGGTTCCAAGGATTTTAATTCATCCAGCGCGAGCTCGAGAGGGCTCATTTTAGTGAAGATAGGATTATGTCAAAAATTTGGTGTTGGTAGCGATTTCGCTTAAAAATCGTGCGTCACGTGGGAGCGGGCGTTACGCGGTAAAACCCGGTACCGAGGCCTCTTCCGCAGGAAGATTGTGTAAGCAACCGGTAGGGGCCGAGTAAAAGTTGTGAACCTTTTAATGTGCCACTTTTCCTCTGTCTTTGTTCTGGCGCGGCCAGACTAGTGTTCTCTTTCTTCGGTCCCAATCCATTCGTGCATCGGGGTATGCAGTCAACGCCACCATTTCAAGCACCGGAAAGTGTGTAGAATATAATACCAAATGTCTCCAGGTAGAGAATCCAAAGACCTCGAAACGTTTGATGAGATAGAGCCTCTAAAAATTCTTTAAATTCGCAGGTAGCATAGCACGAAAGTCCTCTGAAAGGGTAATCAACTCATTAATCCGAGAGCTGCCAATATGGAGCATCCCATAGAGGATTCATGTAGTAACAGCCAATATCTGGAGTCTCTTCAAGACATTGAATGAGGTTACCGGGATCGTTGGAAAGGTTGAAGTGTTTCTATCGTAGGCGTCCCTCTTGAACAGCTCGAGAACCTGGAGCGAGTGCTTCTGATGTTGCAGTGCCAGTAGGATAGGGATTCGTCAAGTGTGATGCGGCGTCGGCCCATTCAACATGAAGTTTCTCGAGATTGACGAAACTCTCCAGGAAGGCATTCCAATCGGCAGAATCCATCGCGCAGCTCCTGATGTTAAGTTCAGTTGCCGGGTAGGCACCAGGAGCGAATTTCCATTGCTTACTATTCCGGCGGTCCAGAGTAAAATATAAGTAGTTGAGGTTAAATCTCTGTAATTAGAGAAGGGAGAAGAGGCGGGAAGGATCAAGACCGTTGCAGGGAAACCAGTCAGAGTTAAAATCGAGGGTGATGCTGGCCGAGGATTTACACGCGAGGAATGAAGGACATTTGGAAGGATTTACTGCGGCACAGAGGATGTCAATCACGTGGCTTGCAGAGCTTATATAGCGGTCATACCCGTAGTCTCCATCATAGGTCGACTTCCTGATTCGAATTCTCAGAGGCTGTAATTTCGGGAGTATGCACGGCAAGTGAGCTGCTGCTGCATCCCTCCGTCCTAGCAGAAGGCCATCTTGAGGGTGTGCTAGGCCTGGATAACCGGCAGCTGGCTGAGATGCAAGGCGTTTATTGACGGTTTCTTTTACTGCGGCGGACTGAATAGAAGTCTCTATAGGAAAGTTCCACGGATTTGACGAGTTTTCCAAGCCTTGGCCGATCATCAATAATATAGACAAGGCGGCGTATTAGGCCGTCGACATTATGGTGAGGTACGCATTGATAACTGAAGTACAAATATTCTGCAGTGACCTCATGCGCCTTCGCAACGTCAGGATAGACTGTAACGATCTTTCAGGGTGAGAATTTAGTCTAGAATCGCCTTCAGTAGCTCGGTTGGCAGAGTGTTTAACATGATCGACTGCAAGTCATCAATTTCTCCCCTTAGAGCTGTCGTACGGGCAGATCCCACAGTAGTACAGGGAGGTCAAGGCCAATACTCTGCTGGAGGTACAGTGGGGATTCAACCAGTTGAAGCCGAAGGTGGGAAGGAAATCGGTGTAGCGCAAGCAGATATTGAACCTGGGATATTTTACTACCACGAAGACAACGTCCAGTGCTTTTCTTCGGAGACTACACCTTGGAGAGGTAATTGAAGGTGCTAAGGTGAAGGGATTCCCTGAGATGGAATGCGAGGTAGAGGTCCAGGACATATCCTAGTCGGGGTGGGCGTCACTCCAGTCTAAATTGGTCCGCATTGGAGAATTGTTGTGGGATCTCCGGGAATGGAAAGAATGCCCCCTCTACGTGGGCCTTTCAACGTTGGTTACTGAAGTAACCTAAACCTCGTGTCCACGAGCGTACCCATCAGAGAAACTATCAGTTTCACCAGATAAAGCCGCCTCAGGCCTGAATATAAAAACAAATTCCATTGGGCTGATTGCTATATGCCTGCGAATGAAGCGAATACATAAATGGATTCTCCCAAGCCCCAGATGCAACCTAAAGCATACTAATGATTCCCATCATGCCAGCGCTGCCCTAACTCCAACGCCCATACTATATTCGTACTCATGTACCTGCGAATCCCACCCAAAACCCACACTCCACGCTCAGTATACCGACCAATGAAGAATTAGCGAAGGCCGAAATATTATACACGAAAACCAGGAGAAGCCAGAAATGTGGTCGCAAAGCTGCAGAATATCTGCACGAACAGGGGAGGCGGCAAAAAGCGGAAATAGGAGGGGCGTTCAAACATAAGTCTCCTCAATGGGAGAGCGTGCACGACAGCGCGTGTGGAGACGGATGTATACTGTTCGAATTCGATGCCTGACCGTTGTTTGAATTCGAAGTCTTGGTAGATCGAAGTGATCATAGTCGAGTGATGGTGGTGATCAGTATCTAAACAAGCACCCATGTTAGCTAGGAATCGCAGAAAGGTGTAGATGTACATGTCCACCATGACCGCTGCTCTCCGTACGCATCTCCAAACTCAACACCTTCACCCTCTATGTTGTAGAAAATTCCCGCCAGTAAAGAGACCTGGATCAACTAACCTGTATCCACCGCTCCTCCGACTGTCTCTCCTAGACCTATAATCATCGTGTTCCTCGATCACTTCGACCACATCATCTCCAGGCACCCTGACCCTCTCCTCTACAATGACACTCCTCGGTCGCGGGCGTGTCCTCCTCTCTTCGACAACCACCGGCTCTCTCCTCCTCGGACTCCTACTGTATTCGCGCACCTCGGTCCTCGTGCTTCGACGCGAGCGACGCGAATGAGGTGATCTTGATCGACGCCTCCTC